AAACGAAGAATTTATGAATTAAACAAGATTTCCTTTAATAAAATAATAAATTAAATCTGACCTCGAATTTCAAAAGTTGAAAACATACTTAACAGTAGTATAAACATGCATATTACGCAATTACGAATCTAACGCAACTTGAACGGATCAAATCGGAGTTAAAACGAACATTTTATGGCAAAACAAAATTAGTGGCAAATCTATAAATAAGAAAAACGTATTTTGAATCTAACAGAAGAATTCTACGTTTTTTGAAAGAGAAAACATATTATGTGAATACGCTATAGACTACGGGTTCTATTTATATAATATAGATGGCCCCTTTAGCAAAAGTAGCTGGCAAAAGGGTACGGTGAGATCTAAGCTGGACGGTTCAGATTAGAAACGGGAAGGAAGAGAGTCGTCGGTGGCCGGAACAGTGCCAGGCACGGCGGCTGGCCATGGTCGACGACGAAGACCTCGCCGGCGATTGCAAAAACAGCCCTAGAGGCAATGAATTAGCTCGAGAAAAAGCATAGGGAGCAAGAGGAGAAGACTGTGAACTCACCTAGGGCCTTCTTGACGTCGGGGAAAACACAGCGAGGGCGTGGGGCTCAATAGAGCGACGACAACCTTCATGCGAGGGTTCCGCGGCGGTGAGCAACGAGCAAAGATCGAGAGGGAGAAAAATAGCAGCACCTACGGCTTCGCAACCTCGGCGTAGAGCTCGGCTGACGGTTTTTGACGAACGTGGGGCAGCAGAAGGCATCAACAGCGGCGATGGCTTTGTGCTAGATCCAAGCAGCGGCGCTGCAGCTCTAGCACGAGGCGACTTGCGCTAGGGTTCGGTAGGGAGGCGGCACGGTGCGGCGCTGCTATTTAAGAGGCGGGGAGGCTTGGGGCGCACGCCAATTCGCGAGGAAACGGCACGGCGACGAACACCCGGCGTGGGCAGAGTCCGATTCTGCGACAAGCGTGAGGTGGGAGACGCAGCTGACATGCGGGCCCGGGGCGTCAGCGACTTAGTCGGCGGGGCCACGGTGTCAGTGAAATGGAGCAAGGGAGAAAGCGGGCCTACATTTCGGCTGGGCCGGCCCATGAGCGAGGGCGCGGGAGAAGGGGAAAGGAAGCCAGGCTGTCAGCGCGCTGGCCTGCGGGGAAGATGGGCCACGGGAGAGAAAAAACAGAGCGGACCGAAAGCCAGGGAGAGTGAGGGAGGGAAGGAAATTCCTTTTTAATTTTCTTAAACACATTTTCAAAATCAAATTCAAATCTAATTTAATTTCTTTTGAAATTTTGATTAAACTCAATCATCACAAAATGAATATGCAGCAGCATGTATGCACAAACATTTAGCTAGACCTTATATTTGATTTTAATTTTAATAAAAAATATTATTTTTCTAAGTTTAAATGCTCACAAAATATATAAATAAATTATTTTAAACTATTTTGAAAACATGTAAATTTTAGGGTGCCCACGCTTGACTGCAGAAGAAGCAGGCTGGGCTGGTCCCTTTTCGAGAGAGAAAGAGGTAGAGGAATCCAGTGGGCCAGATCCAGCCCAGTCCAAATAAGCAGGCCCAACTAGGCAGCCTTCTCTTTTCTTTCTTTCTTGCCAAGATTTCATTCATGCTAAAAAGAAGAGAAAAAAAGAAAGAAAAAAAAAGAGCAGCCTTGTCTCTCCACCTCCCGCAAGCACACGCCGGCAGAGAGCAGAGCAGTAGATTCGACATCGACCCATGGATGCTTCGGCCCTCAACAACCCGCGCCTCAAGGCGATGATCGAGGTACCTGCTCCGCTCCGCTTCACCTAGTGGATGGTTTCTTGCTACTCATCGCAATATCCCATACCCATCGGCGGCGCATCCGTTAATCCCCACCCCCACATTCTTTTTTTCCCCCTGTCGGATTCTTTGATTGATCTAGCCGACGACGATGTTGCTCTCGATGTATATACATGCCCGCGGCACCGTGGTGGTAACTGGAAAGATTTGTGTTTGATTTCGGCGGCTTAAACCTAGTACCAGTTTCTTCTTGCTGTGCGAACCAGTAGTCTTTTTCCCTCTGTGGAATTCGCCTTTTCCTCATTGCCTGGCCTGTTCTACAGTTCCTGCGATAACAGCGGGAGTGCCCCCCTCAGTGTTGGGTTCCGAGGTGTACGGTCGGGGAGCTGTATTCACATGCAACTGGTGCTAAAACCCTAGTAGGATTCAGTGACTGTACTTGTGGCGTAGTATCCAGCACCCCTGCTTTGCACACAATGCAAGCGTTGTTTCTTTGATTCTTGATATTGGGGGGTTTCAATGCTTCCAAAACTGCTTTGATTGTTAAAAGGGTCTTGGATCCATTCTACAATGAAAATTTTGGATATTGGCCAACCTTTGCACACTTGATTTTACTAAGATGGCGTTTGGTTCAGCAAAATGTAATGTAATTAGATTATGGAGGGGATCAGATGGTGATACAGCTGCTTGGTTCAGCTCGGTCCGTTATGGAGTACCCCACAATCAGATAAGGACACGTTTACGGCTGATACCGCCCCTCCGCAAGCTTTATCGCATTGCGCAGCAGCTGCCGTTTTCGGTTTCCCTTACTTTTTTGCAACTGAACAAATCACGGGAATCAAGATCCCCCTGCTGCTCCCCGTGTGATCTGATTTCCTTATCATCTATGTTTCCATCCATGGAAACAAACATCTTCTATTTCTTTGTGTACAAACAATAAATAGCACTGATCCTGTACTCATAAACCGCCTCCCTGTCTGAATTCTCTGGATGACACTGCTTGACTCATTATTGTTTCCCCTCAAAAACAAAAGGTTTCTATCACCTAAACTATGGCTGACTGGTTTTGTTGTAACCTTTGTTAAATGACTGGTTCTTTCAAACGCAAGTTAAAAGTTAAAACCAACCTATGGACCCATTGATAGAATGATAAAAATTGCTCTCACTGTCACAGGCCTTACAAGAGAAATGAATGATTTATATAGTAAGCCAGCTGTTCAAATTTAAACAATCCTAAATCCTCAAGTGCACCTATGATGTATATATGTACACAAGGGAGCCGACTTGTTACATCCTGTTCCTGTGAATTTAACTCAAGCACAAACGTGTTCTAGGTCTATCCCATGTTATTACTGCATATTATTTCAATGAATGATATGGATGATTTGCGGTTTGTATATGTGTTGGCAGTAGATTAGAAATTCAGACTGCGTGTTATGTTGATATCGTTCCATTGAGATTAATCAGACATGTGTGAAGTTCCTTGTTGTTTGTTAGCGTCAAACTCAGTATGTGCACACTTAAGGAATCCAATACAAGTGTGGACAATGAAGGCATGACATGTTTGGAGAGGTTGCTTGATAAACATGCATTGCAGATTGGGGGCAAAGGTTGCTAGCACCCCTGATTCTGGCCAGCCTTTTTTTTAGAAAGACTTTGTAAATGCTACATATTTATGATTGATTGAGCTTGGTACTAGTTCGTTTGTCTGTGCGAACCAGTAATGCCCTTATGGTATTTGCCTTTACCCCTTTTCCATTGTTTAGCCTTATTATTCCTCAGTGTCCTGTTCTACAATTTCTAGGGTAATAATAGAACCAAGGGAATCTCTTATCAGCTGGAATGCCCCTGAATCTTGGGTTTAGAGGTGTGCCAGGAGTTTATATTCATATGCAGCTGATGCTAAAACCCTAGGAGTATTCAATGGCTCTACTGATGAAGTATCCAGTATCACTGCTTTGCATTGCATGGATGTGCAATGTAAGTGATGTGTCTTGATTCTTGATAATGGAGGGTTTCCATCATTCCAAAGCTGGTTCAATTGTTAAAAGGGTCTTCAATCCATTCTACAATGAAAAAAATGGATGTTAGCCAACCTGTGCATACTGGATTTTGACCTGTTCCGTGTACAAGCAATAACCACTCCTGACCCTATACTGATAAACAGCCTACCTGCTGTCTGAAGATTCTCGCTCATCCTGAATGGCACTGCTCAATAATTATTTTTTCTCATAACAAAGTTTCTACCTGAAACAAGGAGGCCCCTGACTTGTTTCGTTATAAGTTATAACCTTTAATTAGTAGCACAATTTAATATGAACCGCGTCGACTCATTGAATAATAAATTGCTCTCATAGACCATAAATGTTACCAGAGAGATGATTTGTATAGTAAGCTAGTTGTTCAAATTTAAACTATCCTAACCCTCAAGTACATCTATGATAATGAAAGGCTCCCCGCTCCGCCCCGCCGCTCTGTGGCCCCGCGCCGGCGGCTTGCGCTGTGTACGCCGGCAGCCCGTGCTGCTTCGCGCGACCCTGCACCCGCCCCGCACCGCCGCGTAGCGCCGCCCCGCTCCGCCCTGCGGCCCCGCGCCGGCGGCTTGCGCTGCGTACTCCGGTGACCCGCGCTGCTCCGTGCGACCCCGCGTAGCTTCGTGCGCCCATGGCCGGGCCATAGAGCTCCCCGTTGGAGCTCGTCATGCAGCCCCATGGCTGGGCCCTGGAGCTCGTCCCGCACCGCCATGGCCGGCCTGACCTCGCGATAGAAAGGCCGCGGTGGAGCCCCTGCTTCCACACGAGTGAGACGGGGAAGGCACGGCGCCAACGTGGGTCGTCTGTAGCTTCCGTCGTCACCCGTCTGGCGAATCAACTCCGCGGACTCCATCTTCCGTTGTCGCCATTGGCTTCTACTTCTGGTCCGGCGGCCACCTCTTGGTGCGGTTCTCTGCTACGAGTTGCTCTTTCTGATCTGCATTGCTGCTGCTCGGTGGTGTGGACGTGCTCAGTTCTGCTCTGCTCGGTGCTGATCTGCTCTGCTGCTGCTTGGTGGTCTGCTCTGCTCGGTGCTGATTTGTTCTGCAACTGCTTGGAGCTGATCTGCTGCTACTGATCTGCTCTGCTCTGCTCGGTACTGATCTGTTCTGCTGCTGCTCGGTGCTGATCTGCTCTGCGGCTGCTTGGTGCTGCTGCCGTTCCTCCCTGACAAGACCTTCGCTGGAGTTGAGCTCCCCTCCATGGCTCGGCAGGTTTGCCCCCCTGGCGCTCTCCTCGAACTTGAGCATGATCCTGCTCTTGTGGAGTTAGTCGACGACTGGGATTTCTCTCCGGGTAAGAGATTCCAAGCTGAAGTCCTTCACAAGTTCTCTTCTTCGGTGCATCACCCATCATCGTCTCCGGATGGCTCGTTCTTCATGCTTGTGGTTTTCCGAAGATACCTCTTTCGTTTGACTGAAGAGTCGGTTGCTATGGCTCTTCACTGTTGCCTGGGTGGCTCTCCTGCCGGATTTCATGTTTCCTATCTGCAAGATCGACATTTCCGTTTTTCTGTTGCCTAGAAGCATGTGGGTTTGTTGGTTCGTGCCCTTAAGAGGATTACCACTGATCACTTTGACATCTACTTCCACATGTGGCGTGATGGAGGTGAAAACTGGAAACTCGAGCACAAAAAATGGGAAAAAGAAGAGAAGGAAAGTTGGTCAGCTGTGATCAATAAAAACAAAGCAAGATATCTGCCAAGAGGGTTTCTTTTCATAAAAAGCTTATCCAAGATTCTCCGGTTCATAAATCTCGTCCTAGGGAGCTTTCGTCGATGATCAAGATTGGTGCTATTTTCTGCCCTCTTACGACGGACTCCTGCAATGTTTTGAGGAAATCTTAAGAGGTTTTGGTTCTCTTGCTAACCAAGTGTGGGATGCTGCTAATGTTACTCATGGTGATCATGGTGATGCTCCTATCGAGTATACCTGCTCTTCGACAGCTAGGCGGACTGATGTCCCAATCCAGAAGGTTTTTCAAAATCTCAAAAGAGATCTCCACATTAACACCAATCTTGATCAGGCCGCCAATACTCAGCTGTCAGCAAGGTTTAATGTCTGGTCTCCTCCCCAGGGTGAACGCTTTAGTTTTTTCCCAAATCATGCAACTCACCTTTGTTTCAGATGCTTAAGTCCGGCTCATCTTGTTAAAGATTGCTGGGGGAGACTCGTTGTATTTGCTGCCTCAATTATGGTCATCGTGCTCGTTACTGTGCTAAGAGACGATCAGACCTCAAGTGTAAATGGGCCACTAAGCCCAGCACACAACCCTCGGGTGAAGACCATGGCGGAGAAGGAAGAAAAAATTATATTCAATGGTCCCTTGGGCCCAATGCACCTGATGACGCTGTGCATTCTATGCTCGGCTCCCATGATTGTACTCATTGTATTCTCTCTAGTGTTATGGAAGAGGAACAAGGTTATGCTGTGATGGTTGATGCTCCTTCATGCCATGCTGCCCCTGCTCTTCTTCAGCTTGGACAGGGCAATGAAAAGAAAATCTCTATTGACAAGCAGCATGATGAGCAAGAAAATTTAGTGGCTGAACTTGCTGGGATCCAACAAAACCAAGCTCTTGCAATCAGGAACTCTCCAATGCCTGTTGTGATCGATAACACGTCTGAAACTAACCAAGATCAACTGCAAGTTAATCAGCAGCAGGTCACTGATCCTCTAGCTCTGACTATCACAACAGGAAGCAACATCAACGGGCTGCCAGAAAGTCACAAGGTCATTGATCAGAGACATGCCATCTCAAAATTCATTGCTGATGGGCTAAGGCAACTAATTGTCAACCAAAGCAATGACGCCTCCAACAAGATAATGGGAAGCCTCAACATTTCAAACTCCCTGATCCACATTTCCCAACACTTCCATATTGGGGCAGGCCAAAGTACCGAAGTGATTGTGGATTCACTGAACCTAGAACAGAACAGCACGCTGGTGAACCAGGAGAGGGCTCAAGAATATAACTCTCAGATTGCAAACAACCTTGCAATAGTGCCTGCCAAACCTGGGACTACTGCAGAGCAGAATGACAGAGTAGAGAAGGAAGCAATCACTAATATCCTGGTCTCTGGCCAGATAATGAACAATCAGCTAAACATTCAAGGCTTAATGCCTTTAGGAAGTCTGGCCGTTCCGGATTCCATCATCCGCATTGATCTCGCTGCTTTAGGCATCAATTCTCTGAACATTACAGTATCCATCCCAAGTCAGGGCAACATTCTAGAACCAAGGACTGCTAACAACACTATGCCTGTACTGGAGGTCCAAAGGCATCAAACTAGTATGATTGTAAGAAGAACCACCCCGATTACTAAGGTGTACTACAGAATGAAGTTTAGGAAAAACAAAAGCTCTCAGGCTAACATGAGAAACAACCAAATGCAAGAGGAAAGAGCTCAAATCTTTCCTGAACCAGTTGAAGATTACATGGTCATACATGAGCAACTTGATGAGGAAGATTACAGTACCAGAAAACCTTTGAGAAGAAAGAGGAAGTGCAGTACTCCAGTTTCAGCAAAAAAACTCAGAAGAAGTGACAGACTAAACAAGGCTCTTGATGGTCACAAACCCAAACTGGCTTCACCTCCCAAGGGTCAGATAGCCAGAAACAAAAGCAAGGGCAAGAAAGTTTCCCTACAGTCATCCATCAGGGGCAAACTCTTGTTTCCTCCTTCCTGCTCAGATGCTGAATTTCCTGATTTATCTATCATAAAGAAACACACTGAAATAGGGAACACTTACCCAGAAATTCGTATTGTGGAAATTCAAAAGGTGGCCACTCAGAAATGTCGTATCACTCCTTCGGAGGTGATGACAGAGCTTCTCCTTGCATCAAAGAAAAAACATGAGAACAACGGAGGGAGGAGTAGCGTGGAGGTCCCAAAAGTGGTTAGCAATGAATAGTTCACCTCCAGCCTCTCATTTTGCCTTTGGCTTGCCTGTTGGTGTCTCTCCATTTTCGGTCTCCATGGATAGGAACACCCAACAGAATCAACAGAGCAGGAACTGGAACATCTTAAACTGGAATATTCGTGGTCTCAATTCTGAAGATAAATGCAATGCGATCAAGGAGAAAATAGAGGAGAGTTCTTGTGCAGTGTTCTGCATCCAGGAGACAAAAAGAGATCACTTTGATCACTCCTTCATCAAGAAATTGTCTCCAAAGCATTTCAATAAATTTGAGTTTTCCCCTTCTGTTGGTGCTTCGGGAGGTATCCTTGTTGGATGGAACAACTCCATCTTCACTGGCGAGATGATACATAACAACAGATTTGCAATTACAATAAAATTTAAGTCGGTGCATAATGGACAATCCTGGCTACTTACCACGGTCTATGGTCCTTGCCAAGGACAATCTAGAGATGATTTCGTTGAGTGGCTGAACAATCTGCAGATTGATGACGAAGAAAACTGGATGATCCTTGGGGATTTTAATTTTTACAGGAGCCTGTCAAACAGGAACAGAGATGGTGGTAACATGAATGATATCATAGTTTTCAATGAAATAATTAGTAATCTGGGACTCCTGGAAATTCTCCTAAAAGGTAGAAACTTCACGTGGAGTAATATGCAGTCCATTCCCCTGCTTGAACAAATAGATTGGGTCTTCACCTCCACAAATTGGATCTCCACTTACCCTAATACGTTGATGCTTCCAATGGCAAGGCCAACTTCGGACCACATTGCTTGCAAAGTCCAGATTGGAACCTCAATCCCGAAGTCAGAAGTGTTTAGATTTGAGAATTTTTGGATACAACACCCTGGATTTTTTGATCTTGTTCAGTCGATCTGGAACATCAATGTTAGAGCAACCAATAGTGCTACTAGAATCTCAGCTAAGTTTAAACTTTTAAGGCATGCTCTTAAGAAATGGAGTAAGAATTTATCTAATCTTAGCGGTACGATCAAGGACTGTAACTCTGTCTTGGAAACTCTAGATGCTTTGGAAGAACAAAGACCTCTTTACTTACAGGAGTACAACTTCAGACTCATTTTGAAGGAGCATATCTTAAAATTGCTGAGATACAAAAAGGAATATTGGAAAAAGAGATACACCATCAGGTGGACCAAATTTGGAGATGAAAGTACAAGTTTCTTTCATGCTGCCGCTACTTAAAGATATCGTATAAACACTATCACTAGCTTGGCTGCAGAAGATGGCAGAGACATATTTGATCATCATGAGAAGGTTGCTATTCTTCTGGAAGAATACAAAGGTAGAATGGGTTGTTCCACAACACCCTCGATGCTATATAATCTTGAGCAACTGGTTCAAAGGAACGACAACATGGAGCACCTGTCATCTCCTTTCACAATAGAGGACATTGATAAAATTGTAAAGCAAATGCCAGCTGATAAATCTCCTGGCCCTGACGGGTTTAATGGGCTCGTCATCAAATCCTGCTGGCACATTATAAAGGAAGATGTCTACAGCTTGTGCTTTGACTTCTTCAGTGGCGATCTGAACATTCAGGCCATCAACAATTCCTTCATCACTTTGATCCCCAAGGTCAACAATCCAACAAATGTAAATGACTTTAGACCCATATCTCTGATGAACTGTGTGCTTAAAGTAATCACCAAGCTAATGGCAAATAAAGTCCAATCAGTAATCACTACACTGATCCATACAAATCAATATGGAATCATTAAGTCTAGAACAATTCAGGATTGCTTGGCTTGGGCATATGAATACATTCATCAATGTCAGCAATCCAAAAGGGAAATAATCATCTTGAAGCTAGATTTCACAAAAGCTTTTGACACTATTGAACATAACACCATCATTGAAATGATGAAGCATATGGGTTTTGATGATAAATGGAGATTCTGGACACAAAAAATCCTGGGCTCTGGTTCTTCTACTATTCTTCTCAATGGAGTTCCTGGCAAACAGTTCCAATGCAAGCGAGGGGTGAGGCAGGGTGACCCTCTTTCACCTCTTCTATTTGTTATGGCTGCTGACCTCTTACAATGCATAGTCAACAAGGCCCACTTGGTGGGGCTGTTTGAGCTGCCAATTCCTGCCTATGAGGGTGCTGGATATCCAATTGTTCAGTATGCCGATGACACCATCTTGGTTATGAAAGCCTCTCAAAGGGAACTTTTCATTCTAAAAGGGTTGCTTGAATCCTTTTCTCAATCCACAGGTTTGAGAGTTAACTATGGAAAATCTTGCATGGTACCCCTCAACACGACAAATGACAAAGCTCAGCTACTGGCAGTAGTTTTTGGATGCAAGCTGGAATCCCTACCTTTTACATATCTCGGCTTGCCAATGGGAACTACAAAGCCAAGAGTGGAGCACTATGGGCCAATCATGAATAGAACTGAAAGGAGACTCTCCGCAGTTTCTAATTTTCTAACCCATGCTGAAAGATTAGAATTGGTAAACTCTGTTCTGTCCTCCCTCCGTACATATGCTATGTGTACTCTTCAAGTCCCTGTTGTTGTTCTTGAATATATTGATAGAGCTAGACGGCACTGCCTGTGGAGAGGTTCTGAGAGCAATGCAAAAATGAAACCACTGGTAGCATGGAAGAAATGTTGTAAGCCGAAGAAGAAAGGTGGGCTTGGAATAATCAACTTGAGGAGCCAAAACTCTGCTTTGTTAATGAAGCACCTGGATAAATTCTACAACCAGAAAGATGTCCCTTGGGTTAAGTTTGTCTGGAATGCTCACTATCAAAATGGTCAAATACCCCATGCTACCACAGGTAAAGGTTCCTTTTGGTGGAGGGATCTTCTGAAACTTTGTGACATGTTCAGAGGAATTTCAAGCTGCATAGTTGGAAATGGCTCAACGGTTCTCTTTTGGTCTGATGTTTGGAACCACCACCTTCTCCAAGAAAAATTCCCCAGATTATATTCTTATGCAAAAGATAAACGAATTTCAGTGGCTAAGTTTTTAGAGAACAACATAGTGATGGCTCAATTTCATTTACCACTGTCAGAACAAGCCCACCAGGAGCACAAGGAACTCCAGGGCCTACTGCAGAATATTCAAGTGCAGGAACATTCAAAGGACACATGGCACTATATATGGGGAACTAGCACATACACTTCGTCTAAATTTTACAACTTCCCATACAAGAATGTCCCTCCCCGTGGATTTGGAAGTCCAAATGTTGCAAGAAGCTGAGAGTTTTCTCCTGGCTCCTACTAATGGACAGACTCAACACTAGGAACATCCTTAGAAGGAAAAAGCACAAGCTGGAAGGCAAACTGTGTCCTTTGCAATATGAATGTTGAAGAAACGGCCTTCCATCTCTTCTTCACTTGCTCTTTCAGCCAACATTGTTGGCAGTTCCTTGGCATTCAGTGGAATCTTATGACAGATTTCATACAAATGATGATACAGGCCAAACAAGCTTTTCCGTATCCTTTCTTCATGGAAGTGTAAATTCTGCATGGCAAATCTGGAAGCAGCGCAATAACCTCATTTTCATGAGAGGACCTCCTTCCTTCTCTTCTTGGAGAAGATCTCTCAAAGATGAAGCTCGACTTCAAGCTTATAGGATTTCTGAAAACAAGCGATCTGTTTTTCTCTCCTGGGTTGATTCTTGTGTTTAGTGGTTCTTTGTCTTTCTTCTTGTTCTAGCCTTGCTAGGGCTTAGCTGAAGTGTTTTCTGTTTGTTTGGCTCAGTTTTTGTTTTTGTGTTTTAATAAAATCTTACAGTGGGGGCTTCCTCTGCTGTTTTCCTGGTTCAAAAAAAAAAACATCTATGATAATACTATACAAGGGAGCTGCTTGCTACATCCTGGTTCTGAGTCTGTACGATGTTACATATTATTTCAGTGAATGGTATGGATGATTTGCGGTTTGTAGAGTAAAAATTCAGTATGTGAATTATGCAGATATCTTCCCATAGAATTAGTGAGACGTGTGAAGTTGCTTGGTGTCTAATAACGTCAAACTCAGCGTGTTCAAACATAAGGAATCAAATGCTAGTAGGGAGGATGGTGGCAACCCTGATTTCTTAAATGCGAGTTGCAGGCAGCTTTTTTCAGAAAAAAAAACCTTGTAAAAGCAACATATCTGTGGGAATTCACTAGGTTGTTTCGCTGGTTTAATTCAAAACGTGCAGGAAGATCTTTCTGCATTCTGTAGTTATGCACTCTAGCCGAAGGGAGAAAATTGGTGGCAGTGCCAAAATTGAAGAATAGGGACAATTAATATGATTTTCTTTATATTAATTGTGTAGAAACTGAGTACTTGCAATCATTTGATACTCAAGGAATCAATATCTGCATCTTTTGTGGCATCTACAATGCACAAAAGCCCCATTCAGTACCTTTTTGGAAATGTATATCCGTACAGCATTAGCATGGTGATTGATGGTTGGATGAAAATAAAATTACTACTGTTTTTGTGCTTTGCAGGAGGAGAGAACGAAGGCCATGGCAAACGAGCTGGTGGCAAAGCTGACTTTTCTTTGCTGGGACAAATGCGTCACGGGGAGCGTCGGGAGCAGCTTCAGCAGGAGCGAGACCTCGTGCCTGTCCAACTGTGCAAAACGCTTCGCTGAAGTGAAGATGATGACCATGCAACGCTTCACCGGCCGCAGCTGAAGTCACACACATATACACATAGGCATTTCTCTGCATCAACGGAACAATATGTAGTATCCTCAGGAATGTCCAAATGGTGTACCTGTCTTCTGAATTCTGAAGTTCTGATGCAGCACGAGTTTTGTTATTGTTATCCTTAATATTATCGTTGCCTTGTCAGTGTTAATAAAAAATGTTCTGGTACTAGCGGAGGCCAAGAAATCTATGCATTTTGCTAAGGTGGGTGTTGAATTGAAATGATTCTGTGATGCTGATGCAAGATGGCTGGCAAATTTACCATTCTAGCCTGGCCGCATTGACTGCACTCCACATTCATCAGTTTAGCAGCTACTGTTACTGGGCACGTATCTCAAGGTTCATCTAGCTCCAACGGCGGAGAGTGGAAACAGCTGTGTTGTTTGGTGAAAGCCAGAGATTAATGAGCGGTGACATGACTTCCCGTCAGTCCAGTGTATGTAGAAGTGTCCCGTATACATGTACATATGTTCACAAGCGACCTGAACGAGGAGGTACTCTTTAACACTGCTAGTAGCACTAGTGCCTTCCTTTTCCTCTCCAATTGTGAGCTCTCCACTCTCAGGTTCTACACTGTTGCTTGCTCCGGCGACACCGTCAGGTGACCTCTCATCTTCTCTCTTTCTCAGCTAATCTGCCATGAGTTTCCGTTTCTCATCATCTTTGTGATAATTTCTTGCGATTCAGCTAGTAATAGTATAAATGGTTGCCTCGAATAAGCTAGGATTTAGGTTTGACTGGTTGCTTGGACGTACTCTTCAATGTCGCTATGTATTTTCTTGCCCCCCATCTTTTCTTTATTGATACCTGCCTTTCTTTAGATGATATCTAAGGTGAAAGTGCAGCAGTAGCTTGATGAAACATTTCTACTTTTTTTTTTGGGTGGATCCCTCCTGTCCCATCTGTAAATTGAGTTGTGTAAATTTAGATGCGACTGTGTGGCTTCTCTGTGCTCACTGCTTAGCAGAACATGTAGTGAGTAGTGACAAATAAACATACTTCTTTTTTTTTCCAGATATGTTCATTGTTTCCTTATTGGACTTGACAACAAATTATGCTTCTGTTATTTTCTTTTAGAAGTTGCCGTCTGTTGTTTTTTCAGAAGTCTGTTCTCTCTCATATTCTGCATTACGTTTGTCATTTCTCTTCCCATATATCCATCTAGCTCACTTGTTTATAGTATACAAAATTAGACATTTCCTACACGGTTATAGTAGTTTGCCGACCATTTTCACACTGCCACCATCACAAATACAGACTGCTCACTGACTTTTATTGACCATTGTTCAGTTCCACTACTAGGAGTTTGCCATGGACAACTCGCAAGATGAATCAGAAAATGACGAGCAAGAGCTAGATGTGAGGGTGAGTGTGTGGCTTCTCTGTGCTCAGCAACGCAATACATATGTAGTGATGACTATTAAAAATATGCTGCTTTTTTTTCGGATTTGTTCATTGTTTCCTTCTTGGACTTGACAACAAATTATGCTTCTGTTATTTTCTTTCAGAAGTTGCCGTTTTTTTTTCAGAAGTCTGTGCTCTCTTATATTCTGCTCTATGTTTGTCATTTCTATTCTAATATATCCATCTCACTTGTTTATAGCATACAAAATTACAGACATTGTCTACACAGCAATAGTAATTTGCTGGCCAGTTTCACACTGCCACCATCACAAATACCTTCACTTTACTTTTATTGACCATTGTTCATTTCCACTACTAGGAGTTTGCCATGGAGAACTCGCAAGATGAATCAGAAAGTGACGAGCAAGAACAATTCTTGGAAATGAAACCATTGCGGTCATTAGCACCAATGTTCCTGCTTCCTATGGGATATGATGTGGCAACTCAATCAACTGATCCAATGCTAGTTTTTGTCACACCATTCAGGCCCTGCACATCGCCGGAACAGTCTCCAGCTTCATTGGGTCAACCCTTACCAAAGTCACCAATTCCTCTCAAGGCTACTCCAATCTCAGCTGCATTTCCCATGCCACGACACAAAGGTGGATCGTCACATGATCCTCTGAAGGATGCTCCAATGTCAGCGGCATTTCCCATGCCACGACACAAAGATGAACCATCAGATGATCCTCCCAAGGCTACTCCAATCTCAGCTGCATTTCCCATGCCACGACACAAAGATGAATCCTCAGATGATCCTCTCAAGGCTACTCCAGTCTCAGCGGCATTTTGCATGCCACGACACAAAGATAAATCATCAGATGATCCTCTCAAGGCTACTCCAATGTCAAGGTCATTTCCAATACCACGACATGAAGATGAATCATCAGACGCAGACTACAAGCCCTTTTCTGGTCAGAAAAAACCAACACCGCTGAAGACAGCCAAGAGGATTCAGCAGGCTGAATGCTCCAATGCAGCTAACACCAAGCGCAGGTCAATACAGAGAAGCCTCAACAAAGAGCTTGCCTTCAGTTCATTCTTGTCAAGCGACCCAAATGAATCTGTCGAAGAGGCGATGATAATGTTTGATTCACTTCGGCGTCGCATACTGCAATTGGATGAAAAGGAGGACGCAGGCAAGCGGGCCGACTTGAAGGCTGGAAGTCTCATGATGCAGAATGGCCTGAGGATCAACAGTTCGAAGATCATAGGACCTGTACCTGGTGTTGAAATTGGAGACATTTTCTTCTTCAGGATTGAAATGTGCATTGTTGGTTTACATGCACCTGCCATGGCTGGCATCGATTACATTTCTGCTAAGCATGCTGGAAAAGATGAGATTCTGGCGATCAGCATCATCTCATCTGGTGGTTATGAGAATGACGACAATGACACGGACATTTTGGTGTACACAGGTCAGGGAGGCAATAGTCGGCACAAGGATAAGCATGACCAGAAGCTTGAAAGAGGCAACCTTGCTCTCATGAATAGCATGAAAAAGAAAAGCCTGATCAGGGTTGTGCGCAGCGCACAGGACCCTTTCTGCAACTCGAGCAAAATTTACATCTATGATGGACTTTACCGGGTCGAAGATTCCTGGACGGACAGAGCAAAGAATGGTTTTAGTGTTTTCAAGTACAAGCTGAGAAGGGAGCCGGGACAGCGAGATGGAATTTCAGTTTGGAAGAAGACTGAGAAGTGGAAAGCAAATCCTGCGACAAGAAACAATGTTATAAGGGTGGATATATCATCAAAAGCTGAGAAGCTACCTGTATGCCTTGTTAGTGATGTAGATGACCAGAAAGGGCCAAGCTACTTCAACTATATTACTGGAGTGGAGTATTCAAGGCCACTCAGCAAGACAAAACCTTTACAAAGCTGCAAGTGTCCTAGTGTGTGCTTGCCTAATGATACTAATTGCTCATGTGCACAACTGAACAGTGGTTATCTTCCTTACAGCGCCAATGGAGTGCTTGTGAAGCACATTCCAATGCTTTATGAGTGCTCCTCCACGTGCCAGTGTTGTCAAAATTGTCGAAACAGGGTCACACAGAAAGGTGTCAATCTTAACTTTGAGGTCTTCTGGACTGGGGACTGCGGATGGGGTGTCCGGTCCTGGGATCCCATCCGTGCTGGCACATTCATCTGTGAGTATGCTGGTCAAGTCATTGATGAAACAAATATGAACATGGGTGATGAGGAAGATGAATATACCTTTTGCACATCATGGCACAGTGACAAGGTTTCAAGATGGAATCTGGGAGCAGAATTACTTGAAGAAAAAAGTGATAATACTACAACAGAGAATCTGAAGAGGCTGCCTATTGTCATAAGTGCAAAACGTTCAGGCAATGTGGCTCGTTTTCTAAATCATAGCTGTTCGCCAAACGTCCTTTGGCAGCCCGTGCAGTATGACCATGGCGATGACAGTAACCCACATATCATGTTTTTTGCGATGAAACATATTCCTCCCATGACCGAACTGACCTATGATTATGGTACAAGAGGAGCTCCTCCCGGCATTAAGGGAAAATTTCCAAATGTTTGTAAACTCAAGCCATGCTTCTGTGGCTCCACCAATTGCCGAGGTTCTTTCTGATAAAAGACGTGCTGGGCAAGCGTGGACTAATGCACTAAAGCAGGTAAGAAAAACATAATCTCTGATCACTATGGATGGAAACATACTGCTTAGCCGTTATTTTCTGTCCATGTTTGTATCAGTTAGTTTCTTTTTAAGAGAATGTATCTGTCATAAGTTCGATAACTCTACTTGAATAAATCTTGCATGGTCTGTCAGTGGACAGTAGATTCTACTTCCTCACCATGCTTAACAATTCTTTTCTTTTTGACTTGGTGAGCATTTAAACAATGCATGTGCATTTGAAACTCTGCCCTCCTAGAAAAATCACTAGTGGGTGTAATCTTTGTAGCATACACAAGACATCACTACTCTTTTTATCAGACTGTAGCCTGTAGGTCAGTTCTACACCTTGCACAAAGATAAGGCGATTGACCTCTATGCTTTGCCAAAACCTGGACTAGTCATTGATAATTTAGAGTTAACATGTTTTTGTTGCCCTTGCTATATGTGTCAACGTATGAGATTGTGTCAATTTGATCTGTAGTTTTGACGAGATCATTTTGGCCCTGGTTCTGGTTGCCTGATGCTGCTATCTTGGTTTTCAGGTTGTAGTGTTCCTTTTGGGCTGGGCTTGCCATAAGCAGCATGACGGATATGTGGTAAGGGAGTCACCAGTCTGTTTTGGATGGTTGCTGGCAACGGGGGAGGAAGGTAGTAGAATGAATCCCTCAGTCTTTTGTGGTAGTGGATGGGTGTTTTGTATATATTACTAGTATTACTATGCATGGCGTGGACCTGTAGTAGTTTACGAACAATGTGTTACTCTTCTCCTCCCAGATATGGAATGCCAGTGTGAAATGTGACTTGTAAATCTTTGGATGGGACAGAGAATGACTGTGTGTGTTGCGATAAAATGTGTTCTACTAGATGATTCCTGCTAGAGCTGTTCCTGCAGGGATTAAAACAAAAGACAAAAAAAAAACAAATGTATGAAATGCCAGCGTGAAATGTGACATGTAAATCTTTGGATGGGACAGAGAATGACTGTGTGTGTTGTGATAAAATGTGTTCTACTAGATGATTCTTGCTAGAGCTGTTCCTGCAGGGATTAAAAAAAAGCAAAAAAAAAAAGGTATGGAATGCCAGTGTGAAATGTGACATGTAAATCTTTTTTTTTTCTTTTGAAATCGAGCATATGATTTCAGTGTTCATGAAGTTTGTCAGGGATTAAATACATCACTGATCTGACAAACAAATAATGAATGGCCACGTGTTAGTGGGGTGATCAGCTTATGCAAATCTACACCAACAGGAGCTTATGCAAATACATCACTGATCTCTCTTTTTCTTTAATAAAAGACAGGAGCTCTGCCGCTCAATTAAGGATAAAGAAGTTTATGTACATAAGACGCCCCCCAACAATTTCTAACTCTTTCACTAACGTCGTGTTCGCTTGCCTTATAAGTCGTACTTTTTTAACCAACGAATATTATTTTTTTTTTATAATAAATCAGCCAATAGTACTTTCAGCCATGGCTGAACAGGAATTATTAGCACATTGTTAACGGGGAAAATTCACTGGGCCTATCAGCTGTCAGGTTGTTAAATATGTGAGCTACTACAACAAACAAGGCCCACCAACACAATACACAAGCAGCTGGAGATTTGCCTCGAGCTGCGGCCAGGAACTCGACAACTAGAACCTGTCAATAATGGTTAAATTTCTTTCTGTGGCGGCTGTAATCCGAGACGTATCTGAATGTCTGCCCACAATCAGGAGCTGAGCACTTATATGGCCGCTCTCCGCGTGTGCACCCTGATATGTTCAGTCTGAGCCCATAGCCACCTGAAAGTCATTTTACATCCTTCCCAGGGCCATTTAAATGGCCTCATCTCGCTGTGGACACACTGATGACGCTTCAAGTATTTGTGTGAGCTGAAACGCTTGCCACATGACTCGTCAGTGCAAATATTGCGCTTGTGGGCGTCTCAAATGTCATATCACACTGAAATGATCCCACTGTTTTTGTCCTCTTACCCCTTTTAGCAGAAGAAGCTTCAGCTGTCCTCCATTCCGACTCTCTTCGACTACGGCAGGTTTAGTCCTTGGCCTCAAGCTCTCACAGGGAGAGCGGACAAAACTCGAATGACTTTGTGAACTACTCCGTATCAGTATTTGACTGAGAATCCCTCTTCCTTTTGTGTTTGCGTCTGACATTGCATATGATATCTGTTTCTTGAGCTCCCGATGCATCTAGACACAACATCTGACAAATCAATTTGTTTATCATCTTTTGCTGATCCCAAAATGGCATTGTGTCTGTTTCCACCACCTCTACAGCTCTGACATCTGTAACATCATCTGCAGAGGGCTCATTGCTAGCCAGTGTCATTAATGTCAAGGAAGCTTTGCCAACCTCATCTTTACCAGGAGCATGTGTTGCCTTGGACTCTTCAGCCAGAGCTCCAAGTAAAATATCAAAAGTATCTGATCCAGTGTCGACAGATTTTCCCTCATGTCCAGGGACTGCAGCCATGGAAGCAACTTGGGCGTCCTCTAAGATGTGGAAATTTATATGCGGAGATTCATGCTTTAAGTTAGCAGGATTATTGCTCTGGTGCTCAATGGCCTTGACAGCAGAATGGCTGCCATCAACCTGCGGCTCGTCAATCATCAAATCAGGTGGAACTGACAGAGGCTGAGTTGAATGAAGCAGGAACATCAGCTGAGCCAAGGCAGCCGAAGATTAAACTGCATTGTCTATCAGCACTGGGCATCTCATTAAAGCTTGAATTTAGTTTCACTGGATCAGCACCCAGATTATCTATTGCAGATTTAGTAGTTTTTGTTTCAGTATTAGAACAGTAGGATGTCTTAGCACGCTCCTCGTTTTCAAGGGATGCTGACAGTGTCCCCACACTTTCCTTCTGATACAGCCAAACCTTCTATCAGGTGTGAATCAACTGACATCATGTTGGGGTAATTGCAAAGCCCCATCTTCTCTTGATCTTGTTGAACTTGCAAATGACTGTGTATGTTGTGATAAAAATAAATGTGTTCTACTAGATGATTCTTGCTAGAGCTGTTCCTGCAGGGATTAAAACAAAAGACAAAAAAAAAGCAAAAAAGACAACAAATGTCTGAGCCCAGGTTCGAACTGGGGACCTTTAGTGTGTGAGACTAACGTGATAACCAACTACACCACCCAGACATTGTGATGGAACTTGATCAAATAATTTACTTATTCAAATAACGTACGTGTTGCAGATTCAAATGTTGCAGTACGAAGAGTGAATCCGAAATGTTGGACGAACTGCATGCATATGATATAATGCCGTTGGTTTTCATGAAACTGTGGTATATATGCTGAGAGAGCATTTATGAGTTGTTTGCTAGTTGTTAGCCAAGGTAATGCATGCAGTGTCATCCTAAACGGTAAACAATATATCAGTCGCTTATCTTTTTTTTTTAAAAAAACTAATATTCAAGCAAAGCAAACGTTTAAACGGCCAAAGACGTCCGTTTAAATAGGCAAAACAATCTATTAAATAGAAACGGTGTATCACCGTAAGTACTGTGAACTCACACAGGGCCTGCCAGATTATTAGTCTACGTACTAGTTAAAATAGTATAGTAGTATATACTTGCACATATTTCATAAGTTTCCCATGCAATTTTCTGAAAAACACCACGTGAGCACTTAACTTTCCTTTTTCTTGAATCTCTTTCAATTTTCCTTGCCACTTGCAAACCATCTATGTATTTTGGTAAAAAGACTAATAAATTTCTGGATTCTCCTCCCTATGAATCCAGTTGTTTTCCCCAAAAGAAATTTCCCTGGACCATGAATTCCCACTCCATTCTACTCTCTGATCTGTAGATAGTTGATAGATCCTATGGACAAGGTTGGAGTCAAACTTTTAAAGCTCTTGTTACACTCAAATCTAAAGTATCTTGTCTGGATCTATTTATAAACTATTCATGAAAAGTACTTCATTAAAAACGTAAAAAGTTTAATATAATGATTATATTCTGATAAGAAAGTGGTCAAAATTATGTTTCTTCTTCTATGAAAGTCTGAAGTGGTGGAACAGAACAGGGTTCCTCATGATGACCTTGTGTGCATTATATTTGCCAGGCATATGGGCTGAAAAGTCGCTGGGCTACTAGTTTTCCAAGCCCATGTTTTTCTTCTTCCTCGTTGGCGTCTCAAGTCTCGACTGGGACGTACGCCACCGCACACATTGCCAGGGGGCTCCCGTGCAGTGCACTGTGAAGAACACGTGCCGTTCCAAATCCTTTTCTCCAAAACAAAACAACTTTTAAGTAAGCAAGCAACCATCAACCGATGAATGAGTGAAGGTACGTACCTACACCGACACACACTAAAATATGATATAAAAATAAATATCTAAATTAGAGATGCCCAACAAGATTCTCTGATCGTTGCTCATAATTTAATATATCAGAATTAAAAGCAGCATCGAATCAGGGAGAGAACACGGCACGCAGGTTGTGTTGGAGCTAATTCAGACGATGGGTCAAAATCAGGACTAATTAGCAATTGATGGGCTGTCTAATTTTCAGTTGCACAACAACAACTCAGACGCCACGTAGTTTAGAGACCCACGGTCACAAGCTAAAACTGTGAAGTGCTACTAATACTAACTAAAAACTATAGCCTCATCAGGTTCTCAGGTACATGGATGCAACAAAAACCACTCTCGATCTAATATATTAGGGAAATGGAGGGTCTGATCGGTTGATGACCAAATTTTGACTATCAAAATGTATTCTACATCATTTAGTTTGCTACCAACGTTAATTAACCAACATCTCGCACTTAGCTAGTAAAATTTTTGGCAAACATTTTTCTCTAACTTTTTACATACCAGATCTTTAGCAAGGCAAGCTTTGGTAATAAAACAAGCATGGGCGGATCTAGGACCTGAGCTAGGTAGGTTGCAACCCTGGTGTAGCCCACATAGTACTTTTGTATGGGTCTGTTTAGGACTGCTCAATTCCACCAAAACCAGCTCGCTCCACTAAGTCTAACATGGAACAACTCCATAAAAAACTTGATCAACGTTCTATAGTACCATTTTAGGTGCTCCACAAAACGCTCGGAGTTGGTCCTCAACTCCACATTTTTTTCTACAGCAGAGTTTGTGGAGCTATTTCTATCGAAGTTGAGAGGGGGAGCTGGAAAAAGTAAAACAGAGCAGTCTCAGACAGTTTAAGGGCCTGTTTGGCAGGGTTCTGGCTCCTCTGAAAATTGCTTCGGCTCTGGCTCCTCTGAAGGAGCAGCTCCTCTGGAGGAGCTGAAGCCGTTCTGAAAAACGTTTGGCAAAACGGCTCCTTCGCATTAGACAACGTGAACCCACAACAAGGAGCCGCGCGAAACTTGTTTTTTAGGCTTCTCCTGCGCAGGCAAAAAATGGCTCGGGCTCTTGACCGGCTCCCCATGCGGAGCCCTTTCCAAAACAGGCGTTTGGCACAACTCCTGCAGGAGCCGGAGCTGAAGCCCCTGCAGGAGCCCTGCCAAAGAGGCTCTAAGTGGTAACTCCTACAAATGTTCTATACTAAATTGTTAAATATCCAGTTGATTTACGTGCTCAAAATTTTTCAGATACGATATGATATGAACAGCCCGGACCTTGTGTATCCTACGTACGCCAATAAAACCAAAGCAGGCCTGAATATTCGTGTCTGCCTCAAATTTTCTTGCCGGAAGATGACACCATTGCACTTAATTTTTAAATAAAAAGTGAAGTTTTATTTGACGTTTTCAGTATCAAATTAAGAATTGTGCGTATATATAAACGTTAGACGTGAGGCAGGGCTTCGCGCTCATATTATGGCTTTCCGCCGCGTGGAGGAGGTGGAGTCGTCTGGTTATTGCTTCAGCGGCATGCTAAATCAAACGCTTTGCGTCTGATTTGTGAGCTGAACTTGGTCAGTTTCAATTCGTCGAAACCGGCCCAGCCGCTACGCCCTCGTTTGACTCTCCCACTCGTCACCGGTATTCATATTTTCTCTTAATTACTACTTTCAACTTATAAGTCGTTTTGTTGTTTAGATACATAACTTTTATTATCATATTCAGGACAGAGGGTGATATTATTTAAGTAGTGGTGGTATACGCGACATGCGAGACGACCCTCGTAGTGTTAGAATGTGTGTGCATCATCGTATTAATTGTGTTCTGAAAGAGAAAAAAAATATATGAAGACTATGTTTTCAGAAACCATTCATAAGCAAAGGTAGTCAACTAGTTAGCTCCTTTTGAGCGTAAAGACGACCAGTCGGATGCAAGCTTTTTACTCTGTACTATAGAGTTAGAAGGGCACCCACAACGTTGCCAGCTTTAAGACAACTTCTCTAATAACGCTAACTTTTAGCATGGATGATCCCATATCACACTCTCACGTAACCTTGAGATGTGTATAAGAGCTACTCTTGATCAAGAGCTAGTTTTTCTCTTTCTTTTGTTAGAGCATGAAAAAAATACTTAGAACTAGCTTAAGAGTCAATTGGAGTGGCCCGAAGTGTATAACACGGAGTGAAGTGTACTGGTCCACACTCATTTTCAGACAAAAGACAAGCCACCACTTTGTTTCTCTCGATGCAGATAGTATATTATTAATATATGCAACAAGATCCGGTTCAATTGCCCTATTTACCTTGCGTTACATGTCAGTTACGCTCATTTGATTGAGATGGGGTAGCTTGTGATCTGGAAAAAGGTCTGCATCAAGGTCACATTATTGGTATGCTTGATGCTTGATGCATTCTAATTCTAAACGACAAATTGCGACAGCTTCCTGGCCAGAAGCCTTATCCACGTCGCCTCTATTGTTCTCCTCCGTTGGATCTTGAATCCTACGGCCTAGATGGTTTGAAGCCGATTCTTGTCCGGAGCGGCTTCTCCTCGTTCTCTCTGGCTTATTCGTCTTCTCCACTGCTTCTCCCCAGCTTCTCCGGCTTCTTGTCCGAATCCAGAGAGACAAATATATACTCAGCTTCCACTTCTCCTTTCAGATTCTTCTCCCAACTTCCTCTCTCCCTCACCCGTCGGTCTCTCCCTCTCCCTCTCGATCCCCACACAGACAGGGCGGCGACAGCTGGCGCGGGCAGGAATGGCGGCTGCGGCCGGCCTCCTCCTCCTCCTCTCCCTCCTCCTCTCCTCCTCGTGTCGCGCCGTGCTGGCCATGCCCGCACTGCCGACTCACGGCGCGAGGCGCTGCCTGGCGTGACGGCGCCCCAAGGCTGCGGTGCGGCACCGCCCGTGGGCGCCGGCGGTGCCCGTCCCTGGCCACGGCGCAGCGAGAGCGGGCACGCCGGTGGCCGCCGGCGTGGCTGCCCCCGGCGATGCCTCTTGTCGGATATCTATATCCGGGTATCCGAGCCAAAGGATTAATAAGCGTCATGTTGGCTCATCCAATGGTTAAAGATGCAACTACGGCCTCGTCCGACCCCCAGGAGCCGGGCCACGCCTCGTCCGACTCCGAGGACGAGGTTTCCGCCTCGTCCGACCCCAGGAGCCGGGCCACGCCTCGTCCGACTCCGAGGACGAGGTTTCCGCCTCGTCCGACCCCAGGAGCCGGGCCACGCCTCATCCGACTCCGAGGATGAGGTTTCCGCCTCGTCCGACCCCAAGGCGAGGGCTCCGACTCCTCCGACCCCAGGGCGAGGGCTCCGACTCCTCCGACCCCAGGGCGTGGGCTCCGACTCGTCTGGTCCCACGGGAGGGCTCCGCCTCGTCCGGCCCCCGAGGGTCGAATTCCGTCTCGCCCGGCCCCCAGGGCGAGATTTCCGCCTCGCCCGTTCCCTAGGGGTCGGATTTGCTACCGGACAAAATCAGTGGCCCCAGGGTGGGACCCGAACCATTTCAACCACTACAGCATAGAGGCGCGCGCCCGAAAGCACGTCTCGGGCGCGTCCTGCTGCGACTGGCGGTCGTATCGGGCCATGCTGGGAGACTCACGTCGCCCATC